ATGGAACAGAATGCTTGTCACAGGAAAAACCACCAGTTCCAGTAGCAGAGCCTCACACACTTCAGTGCTCAAGGACACACTTGGGCATGTTCAAATTTGCAGAGAGACTCAGCCAAAGACATAAACTTTTTCTCCCCAGCCCCTCCTTTATTTTTTATTACTGTAAAGGGGGTTATCTCAGCAATTCATTATGATGTTGAAAGTCTTGGTGTTATTTTTGTTCACATCCCCTTTTTTGGAGGTTCACATATGCAGGTTATGCCTTCATGAAATAATACATACAGTAATCAGCTTAAAGTTCTGTGGCCATGATTATTTTAACTCTTTTTTTGGGAACTTTCATTAGGGATCACTACTGCTATTCTCAAGGAAAAATGGCAATTCCTTATATTTTATCACCCCAATACAGTAAGTAATTTTTTTTTTCTTTTAGTCTTAAAATGGGCATTCAATACTGTAATAAATTATGCACAAGATCTCCATAATGGATTAATTCTCTTCCCCAGTACTACCGTTACATCATATTCCTTAGGATTATAGGTTTCTTTTCCATTTTGGAATACCATCTGGTGTGAAAATTAAGACTTCTGGAAACTATGCTATCAAAAAACTAAAATAATCCTATTCAATAATGAATTTGAAGGCACAGAAAACCTCTCCTTTCTTCCAGAAAAGGCTTTTAAACTACAACCATTATGTTCCCATTCATTACCATTCTTATCATTGCAGCATTTCTCCTACACTGGCATTTGTTTTTGCTAACATCTGAAGTCTGGACAAATCCTTTAGATATAAAAAATGAAATAGGGATTCTTTGTTGACATGAAAAAATTAGTGGTCATCTACTATATCCAGACAGATCCTAAAAGATGCAATGAATTTTTAAAGAAAATTGTGGAGCAGTACAAAACTAAAAATTACAGGAAAAATCAAATATTTCTGTTAAACATCAAATAATGAAAGTCAAGACTAAAATTTCTTCCTAAATGAAAATTGTAGAAACCTCATCATCTCCCAGAAAGCAGTTATAATTTTCCTGATTCATGCAGCTATGGTTGCTGGAGTATCTCTATATGAAACACCATAACTTTCCTCTAATGCGTTAATATGCTGCCCCTACCACTGTGGTAACACCTTTTGTTACACCAGTGCTAATCAACAATTCTGAATAATTACTACTCATTTTCAGAATCAGAACCTCTGTTTAGAAAAGAAACACCACACTATGTGGTGTAAAAGCAAAAGAAGAGATAGTCTGCTTTTTCTATAGATTACTAACAGAACCCAAAAGACAAACATTAGTAGATAAGAAATAATAAAAGCATTAAAGGTTTTTGCATTTAGATACCACTGAGAATTCCTGTGCACAGAAGGAACAAGATTCAAAAAAACCCAGAAGCTGACACTTGGATGAAGGACTAGAAATATCAGTAATAGCAGTAAATTTGAGATGAAGTAGTGGTGCTGGCATTAAAATAAGTGGCCTATTTCTACAATACATACATACACAAAAAAAAAAAAAAAAAAAAGAGAAGGTACAGCCTCAGTTATTACATCCAGGACAACAGTTTCATCCTGGTTCCCCAGTATAGCCTAATATGGCAATAAATAAGCACTAACTTTGAAAATATCTAAGTACTCATTTGAACTGACAAGAAATCACAGAGTAAGAAATTCAAGGCACATAGTCAAGCATTTGTCTGCACTTATTGGACTGGATATACAGATTTTGTTAAAACTGACAAGTTTTTAAATTAGGTCCCTGTCTTCTCTTTCATTTTACATCTAGAATTTTCCTTCCAACATTTTGTGATGCCACTTTTCTCACAGACATGCATCTTGGGTAGACACCTGATTCTTTCATTTTTAAAGTATTAGAAACAACATAGATTTATGAATTAACAAAAATATTTCAATATACCTTATTTTTGGCTTCGCCTATGCTCTTTGTGCTTCAGAGGAACCATACTGACAAAGGGAAAGGTCTGGAGTAGAGTTATGAAAGTGATTATCCCTGTTTATTTGGCACCTGTTAGACTGCTTTTAGAGTACTGAGTCGAGGTTTGGGTCCTCCAGTACAACTAAGATGTTGATAAACTAAAGAAAGGTCATCGGTGTGTTGCCAAGACAGTTAAGGTTATGAAGTACCTGCCCTTACAAGGGGAAACTGAGGCAACATGGCCTCTGTCATCAAGACTGGAGAACAGGAAGCTTAAGAAGGACCCAAAAGCAGCTCCTTAATAGCTATAAAGTCATCAAGAAGATTGACTTATACTCTTTCTAGTGATGTATGGTGGGAGGACAACAGATCACAAACATCATTGAAATGAAAACTTCAAATTAGACTTAAGGTAAAAACTTGTCATCACAAGGAGTGTCTCACATTGGAACAGGTTGCAGAGAAGCTGCACAGGAACATAAAGCTGTCGGTAAGCCAGTCTGCCTACACAGCTGACCCTGCCTGAAGAAGGCATTAGAGAGCTTCTGATACCCCTCCCAAACCAAATTACTCTATAATTCTGGTCCATAGTTTTTTTTAACTTTCTGTTTTTAAGTTTGTCCTTGCATGCATCTAGTTTTTGTTTTGCCATCATCTCCACTTTTTCTAAAGGAAATTCAATGTACTGCAGCAGTCTTTCTTACCATATTCTGATACAACCTCTCCCTCATCTACAGTGCAAAGATTTTCCTCATCGATCATACCAGATTCTCATAAATCATAACAGATCACATGTGATCTGTTAAAGTGAAACTGATTATTACTAGGAAGTCAGGCTATCAATCTTCTTTTTTTGGCTGCAATTTTAGTGCAAATATAATACTGAAGATTATGCAGGACTAATGTTTAATGTTTTGACGTGTCCTGGTTTTTAAAAGAGCGCTGTGAAGAAGGACATATGTATCAGGGTAAAGGCCTTTAATTAGGTAACAAAGACAAAACTAAGTGTAAACAAGTGCAAGGTAATGCATGGAATCTAAGCGACTTTAAAGGCAACTACAGATTATAAATAAATTGTAACTCTTCTGTTAATAAATCTGGTTGTCAGCATCAATGAAGTATTTCCTCAGTGTGGAAATACAGCATAAAGAAATATCGGCATGGCAGGTGTATGTTAGAAAAAGTAGAATATTCTCAGCTTGCCCAAATACAAAGTTTTATTTTGGTAACCTCATCATATATACACAATATTACAAAAAGTAAACAAACTTAATACTTAAAAGAGTCTAGATGCATAGTTTCAATAAGCTACAGCTACAGTAACATAATAAAAAGCTATAAAAAACATTTGAACTACAAGACAAACAAGTTTTCTTATTAGCATATATTAATAAATCATAATAAAATTAAAAAAGGAGACTTTTTTTTTTTAAATTGGGATAAATTTAGTTGTAAACAGCAAAAGTAACAATAATTGCCTTGCTGGATTTACGTAAAGTATTTATAAAAGCCATTGTGTTAGCTATACTGGATACTATAAAAAGAATATTTACCCTTATACCCAAAAGAAAGCTTTAATTTTCAGCCTTTATTATATAACCTAGAAGCATTTCTGTACTTTCCTTCAGTATTGAGATAAAAAAAGTCAAAAATTTTATTGTAAGTTTTCTTTGATATTATACCGAACTTTGTTTACCATATTGCCTCTTAGAAAGCTTTTGTAGAATAATTACCACGAAAGATGAGATCATAAGAAGAAATATAACACTTACAGGAATGATTCTAGGATAGAATGAAAGATTACTGTGTAGAAACTCTGAAGAAATTTTGTTGGATTTGAGGATAATATGCACTGTAGCAATAGGGTAAGAATCATGTAAGATACGAAAAGACAAACCATTTCTGACTATGGACTATTATGCTATGTACTAGTAGCACACTGGTTACAGATTAGAAAACAAAGTTGCAGCACAATACAAATTTATGAAGAATATATCATACAGTTTTGGACATTTTCTAAAAATTGAAGATTCAGTGATTTAATGGTAGATTACTGCCTCCTTTCTAAACAGTTTTTGAAAATGTGCTTTCCAAAAGGTTATTAGGAAACTGTTACAGAATTAGAAGAAATGCCCTTACATGGAAAAATTAATGAAGAGGGAAAGAGTAAACAATCCATTCATACAATGGAGAAAGATCACATATAGTGCTACATAGGCATATGCAGTCAGAGATCTGACAATGGGAGCAGACATCAGTGCTGAAGATTCTATCATTGGGATGATGATTCTTAGGCAATAAGGATATGTGACATAGTGAAGAACCACAGAATGGTCTTAGAATGAAGTGACTGTGTAAAAGAATAGCAAATGACATTCCATGTACACAAATCTGATGTACAAAGGAGGTAAAATAATTCTAACTTCACACATCAAATAATGGACTCAGAAATGTCCATTATTTCATCCACTGAAGTGTGGAATTTTTGATTATAATATCCATAAAAATGCTTACTCAATGTTAACAGTCAAAGAGAAAATAAAATGTTAGGAATTTCTAAGAAAGGAATATAAACTGGAAAAGAGTGTGACACAGCATATGATGAGATAAAAGATTTGCATGTTTCAACTGTTTTCAACTGCATTCAGCTATGGTCCCTTTAACTCTGAAAGAAGCATTAAAACTGGAAAAGATTCAGAAGAGACAGTTAAAGCTATAGGTTGGCTTCTAATACAAGAATGAATGTAAGCTTACACTCTGCAAAATCTGGAAATTGCTTGAGCTAAATGTCAGATATCTGCAAAATCATGAAGGCACAGGAAACGGACTGATTCATCCTCTCCTCTAATACAAGAACAGAAAGTTTTATGGAGTAAGGTCCAAAAATAAATTAAAGGATGTGGTGGCTCTTTTGCATTACTAAATAGAGTTTCTGTCACCTTTGTGTACCTTTCACTTTGTCACAAATGGGCTTGTAATGCACGTATTTCTGAACATGAAAATCTTCACAAAAACTCATACTAATGCAGAAGACCTTAATCAGAGATCAGAGAACACAATCTGCATATGTATATACCTTTATTGACACATATGCAATACAGACATTCAAGTTCAACATGTGGTACTGTCCTTCCTGAACATGAAGGTTTTTCCTCATCTATTGGCTTAGGAAAGCAGCAATCATTATACAGCCTGAGTAAGCTATTATTGAAATACAATTTGTATTTTACACATTGTCAGACTTTGTGTATAAAAAATTACTCAACATATGAAGTGTAATTTAAGGGATAATTATTCTGAAAGTCAGATTTCATTAATCAGTACAAGGTCATTGCAAAATTGATCAGGACAGACATTATGTCTTCTAAGTCATTACACAGGAAGATAGAATTGAGGAATCAAGATATAACTCTGTAACAGATGACAGAGAATGTAAAGTATGCATAGAGAGAATCTAAGTGTTACTCCACTTACACAGTACAGACAGATGTCTACTAAGAATTTTTGAAGCTACCATGAAGTTGAATAAAGTTCCACCTATGGCAATGAATTGTAAAATATAAATCCATTTAATACATCAAGAAAACAAAAATAGCTACAATTTTTAATGAAACGATGAAAATTTTTAAATGTCCATGCCATGTTAACAGACAGGCTAATATAGCTAAACTTCCACAAAATATGAGTACACAAAACATAATATTCTATAACTGCTTAAAGTTAACTAAGACGAAATGTGTAAAAAGGCTTCTAAATATATTAAATATTCAGTTTAATGACTACAAAGTAAGCACACAAATGTAAAAGCAATGTTCTGTAAAACAAACGCAGTAAAGATATGTTCATATGAACTCCATAAATGGCAGTTGATTATACATACTTAGAATTAATTTTTTAATATTATTAAATACATTTCTTTGAAAGAAAATCGCAATGCCATAAAAAAACCTGCACAAAATTAAGTTGTATAAATGCACTGATAATAACAACATTTAAAATGTACTTTATTGCATTTACAGCTACTAATTTACCAAGTATCAAAAAAAACACTAAAAAACAAACAAACAACAACAAACCCCCCACAATTCTGACATTAATTACAGAACACTCTAAAACAACATTTCCATTTTAAAGTTGAGAAGGTTTGATAAAACTTTTCATGGAAATGCCCATTCCTAGTCAAATTCCTAGTTACAACAAATCTTTGAGATTTGTAGAAATTAGTAGTTTCTATGTTAGTAAAATTAGTAGTTTCTATATTTTCAATATCTAATAGTTTATGAACCTTTTATTATCCAAATTTGTCATCTTTACAAAGTACATCCATCCAGCATTATGTAATAATAAAAACATTAGTCTGGTTTATATTAGCAATTGTTGTATGCTTATCATCAGGCAGCTTAGGTTTAAATCATTTGATGAAAACAATAAACCTCATGTTGCCAACTCCTTCAAAAGCATTTCCCTGTAGTTAACATTCTTATCTATAAATTAATTTTCTCCTTCTCACTCACACTTCCCTAGGTTTCTTTGGGTCATATTGGTCCATTCTCTGTGGTCCTGCTGCATTGATTAACTTAACTACAATAAAGAATTTCTAAACTCCATAATCTTAACAAACATATTCATTCCTGTTAAAATCCCTACAAAAACAAGCATTATCCTTAGGATGTGACTTTTATAAAATAAATACAGTTTAATTTTTTAACTTTGGGATGGTTAAGTAAAACAAAGTAAAACTAAAAATTATTATTAACACTTTTGTTATTTCACAAATGCTTATTGTAAAAATGTCAGTTATATATAATATTTGTGAAACATATCTTCTAAATCTGTTTATGTTACCAATTTTGTAGTGATTGGAAACAGAAATTAAGCTAAATTCAAAAATGGCAATCACTAAAAATACCTTCATTAAAAGTAATTCAATAATGTTTTATTAATGAAATAATAACAAAATACTAGGAGTATTTATCAATACAAATTTTTTAAAAATCTTTACAGAGAGCATTGCACAACTATGAAGTTGTTCTTGATCAACTGGCATCTTCATTTTTCATTTCAAGTTTTAATATCTGCTTAAACTATATTCACAGCAAGACTTCACACTGGAGTAAATTTTGCGTCCACAAAGCAAGTATGATTTCTGTGTTCTGAATCTTTAACAACTGATTAAATAAAAAAATTTTTGCGATCTCCTTATTTTTGCCAGTCCTGAAGCAATAGCAAGCTGAAAAACCATTCTAGCCTGGTCATCCTGAAAAGATTTGCTCAGCAAACATCAATAAATTAAGCCTTATTGAAACTTGCAGAAATATTGTTTGGAACAGAATTTAAAAAAAAAAAAAAAAAAAGTACTCTTTATAATTAGTTTATCCATAATTTGTATATTAACCTTAATTTAGCTAGGACATTTTTTTCTTTCTTTCTTTCTAACAATCGAGTCTTTAAAGTCATACCTGGTTTTCAAGAATGAAGGGTAGAAAAACCAGCTTCAAAAAACAGAGCCTCTATGGAAATCTGATAAAGTCATTTCATAATGCCATCTGTCAGTATAGCGCTCCCTAGTACTTCAAATGTTTTGAAGTGGGATGAACAAAGGTATTAGAAAGGAGAAAGAGCTCTTTCAGTTAAACTAAAGTGATTACCAGTTAAACACATATGAATAGCATCTTACATTGCACCAGATAGACTGTTAGAAAAGTTCTTAATCTACTAAGGTACTATCTAAAAGCCGAATGTTCCTTCTAAGACATTTCTGTGAGTACCATCCTCTAATTTTGCAACAAAAATGCTAACTAGTGTCAGCTAGCAACAAGATCACAGAGTAGACAGACACATTTTGTTTAACTCCTATCAAAAACATCTGTCCCCTAGTGTCCCAGCCTTTCTTCTAGAACTTCATCTTTTAACCATACAGAGCTTTCAATTTTTAACCAGCATTGAATGCATTAAAAAAAAAAAAAAAGGCAAGAAAAAAAGTATCTCTGCAAATAAAATATAGGATAATATAATTCAGAACTAATGATTTAATTTCTGATTTAATTTCTGTATTATAGTGTTTACTTTTACAGTATTTTAAAATAAACTTTAGCTAAAGTTTTGATCTCACATTCAGAGTAGATAGCCCTGTTCTTTCAATGCAATCTACTATAATGTGGTACACACAGGGCAGTTTATTTTTAAATGCAGCCTACAATTTAGTCCAATACATATACATATTCATTAAGTCTGATCAATCTAATCAAAGATGTCCTTGGAAGTATTCTCAAGGAAAACATTAAATCAGCATAAAACAAATATTATAAGTCACATAGCAGAAGGAAAAAGAGGTTACTGTATATTGAAATACTTCAACACTATGAAAACTCCAAGTTTCTACATTTCTAAAAATAAAGAATATATAATAATGAAAAATAAAAATACCATGACCTTGCAAACTAAATTTTAATGTATAAACCAACAACAACTATATGTATATACCTGATATTCAGATATGGATGTGTTTCTGCACTAAATCTGAAGCATTATTATAGTGACTTATTCACTAAACAAACCTAAAACCAAAACATTTTAATGTGAGAATTTTCATCTATTATAAAGAAGAGTAAGCATCTGATGCTATGTGCTGAACAGCTATTTTCACAATTTAATTACATGGCAGTTAATGTTACAAATGTGAAATGCACCAAATTCAAAGTCCACAAAGCATAGCATTCAGAAGAGTAGCATACTTCTTGAATGTAATCATCAACACCTTAGAAAAGTTAAGTAAAATAACATGTGATTTCTGTGCATTTAAACATTCTATTACACAACCACAATATAACAATATTTAATGTACATACATCAAGCAATCCTTTTTACTATATCTTATACACAATTAGACCAATAAGAAAAGAATTCTGTAAATGGTGAATAAACAGTATCTTTTTGCATTAAATTTTCATCCTTCAGTTTTACTGATGAATTTAAGAAGTTTATTCTAGCTTAATGTTGATTTTATAAATAGCTGCTGATATTCATATCAAGATTCCTCTTCCCTCATAACTGAACATCATGGCAGCAGATACTAATGGAAACATGTTGACCTATACTCTAGAAGAAAAAGAGATGGAACAAAATGTTTAAAGCAATAGGAAAAAAGTATCAGTGTTTAAAGCAAAAGTGAATACATATACATAAGGACAGAATATATGAAGATATTTCAATTTCCTTTTGTTCTTAATTTTGTGCAGATTACTTTTTAAAATCAGGAAAGTGTCATTAACTCATAAACCATAAGGTATGGAATCTGTCCATTGGCATTTATAACTTCACAATCAAGGCAGATTCTAACAACAGGATTGGAAAGGGATATAAAAGCTCAAATGATATAAGAAGAGCTTTCTTCATGCAAGGGATCACACATAATTTGGGACAATTATAGTCATTAACAAAGGCTGTGACTTCAATATAATAAAATTCCTTCTAGGAAAAGGAATTCAAGTATAGAAAACTGATGAGCAGAGACAATATTTTTTTATCAGACAAGATATAGAATTAGAAAGCAATTAAATTCAAGTGGTATGATCAGAGAAAGTTCTTAGTCAAATGACTTTGAAAGTGGCTTTTTGAAGAAATGAAAGTTAGGAACCTAGACAGGACTTTGGTAACCTGTAAAGAAGAACAAGCATTTGAAGGTTTTTGCAAACAAAGAGTGAAAAATTTAGATGCATGCAATCTGGAATGTCATAGATTGGCTGTGCAAATTGACATACAGATTATAGTCTTGAAAAGAAAGGGTAGGTTGTCCACAGTAACCAATAATGAATAAGAAGGAAGTGTCTGTGAAGAGAACTGAGATCAGATTTCAAATAACTTAATCAAGTTCTAAGTAGAGTATCTATAAGATGAGCACAGTCAAGACAAGATGTCCTAGGATTCACAGACAGGAAAACTAGATGTGTGTGTCATTGCAAGTAACAAAAATATACACTCCTAACCAAATCTGTTTGTAAGAACATGTATATCAATAAAGAATATTAGGAAGTAAATCTCTGGCACACAGACTAAAGTGAGACGATGGCAGGCAACCTACCAAATAATGAGATATATGAAGACAAAGTCACAAATGGATGACAGTTTCTTGTAGTTGATCATGACTACAGAGCTGTACTCAGTAACTGAAATGAGTGTGAAAAAATTGCATACGTATGTGATTCAGGAAGAACAGAGGAAGGGAGTAAAATAGTAGAGTCATACAGATTTAACAAGAGGAAACCACTAACTAATAGAACAAAAGCTGGAATGAATGAGCTTCAAATAAAAGGAAGATACAACTAACGCAATATTGGTATACACCATATACCGAGCTGGGTATACGGGATTGCTTTGTAAAAATTGCATTAAAAATGCAGAAAAACTACAGGCTTATGCTTGCCAAACACAAAATAACACATAGAAAAAGACCTTTTCTGGGGACTGCAGGTAGGAGAAAAAATGCACTGATATATTTCATCTGACATTGCATTTATGATTTGGCAGAGAGAGTTCGATACAAGGTTATAAAGCTGGCCACAGTTTTTCAGGCTCATCTTAATTAACGAATCATCTACAAGCGCTAACTACATAAAACACCCCAAAACCAGGAGTATAAAATAGTTCCCTAATTAGAAGATAACCTTTTAGTTATGTGTATATTTTTCTAAATTTATGATGAAACCCTAATCTTAATAATTTTTTACACTTTCGGTAGCTTTACAGAATAAAATTACTATTACTATTATACCTGAAAATACGAATTTTGTTAATGTCACTCCTGACCTTAAGTCAAAACCTATAAAAATGAAAAAAAAAAAAAAAAAAGAAAAATTTTTTGGGCTTTTTGACATTTTAAAATAGGAAAATAGAAAAGTACTTTCCTTTGAGCTACAAACAATCATAAATTAGATAAAGATGGCAAGCTCAAGCAAAAGAAAAATGAATAGAAATTTAAACATTTTGTTGTATAATTGAAGTAACTATTTAATCGGGTTTTTTTCATTCCTCTTGTAGTTTTTTGGGGTTTTGTTTGGTGTGGCCTTTTTTTTTTTTTTTTTTTTTTTTTTTTGTAAGGGAACTGTTTGTTCCCCTACTAAAGTGCTGCTTATATTATTGTCAGAAATGTTCAGTAGAGTGGACTCAGCTAAGACTTATTTTTGTTTGTTGAATCTCATGTTAGCCAATGAAATGTAATTTTAAAAAATAGCAAGCCTTATCAATTAGGAAAAATAAATTTATTAACAAACCCATAAGCCTTCATAAAATGCAATATGGCAAAATATGTAGTACTAAACTGTCACACTGTCAGATGTGAACTGTTAACACTGATGAGAGCCTATTTAATCTACTAAATGTATTTTAATGTGGTTACTGATATGAACAAAAGTGGCATAAAAAATGAAGAAATTAGACTGTCAACTGTGAAAAACAGAATAGGATGATGTAATATTAGAAGTATTTTCTCACAAGAATCCTGTGCTGAATTAGAGCAACTTTCCAGCGATATGCCATTTCCTTCCTGTGCCACTCCATACTCCCTGAAAATATATAAAACGGAATGGGTTTTACAGTCCATGGAGTCATGTTAGTCAGTTACTCTCTAGGCTTTATGATTCCTTAAAGAAATACCACCAAAAAAAAAATCTTATTCCACAAATTAATTTAGTTTTTGTACTGCAGACAAACTTGATACTGGTAAGATATGTATGAGCCAATGAGTGCGCTGGAACAACTGTCTGCAGCTCACCCTGCACTAAAACACCTTTCAGAAACATTGCACTTATAAGAATCACACTAAAACCAGAAAACCTTTTTTTGGTTTTTTTTAAGACCCAGTGAGACTCAAAATTGAGCTACATTTTCTGGGCCAGAAAAGCCAATGCTCCAAAACTTAATTTTAGAGCAACCAAACTTACAAGTACATGCAATAAAATTATGGCCTAATTTAAAACAATTGGATATCATTAACTTTAGAAACCTATTTTTCAAGTCAACCCTTAGGAAAAGACTACAACTGCATTCCACAGACAGTGTTTCAGGAAGCAACCTGCAAATAACTCTAAAATAAGGAGTAGGTTCACCTTACTAATATCTAAAAAGCAAAAACTGTAAATGTATCCACAGAACACCTAGGAATAGTTGGAAGAAAATGAACTTCGAAAAATAGATCTAAGGTCCAAATTCAACATTTTAGTATTTTTGTGTACCAATTTGGACTACAGAGACTTTTAAGCATCAGTACCTTCACAGGATGGGAATTACAGCTGCCTGCCGCACTCTCCTTCCCAGCAGTATCAGCCAAAGCTCACATTTCCAGTCTGTGATATCTGGTAAAAAATTGAATGGAATGCCATGTCACTGCTCTGAAACTAGATGTATCTGCTTTTTTTGCCTATGTAATGACTACAAGATCTCATCTGCTGTCTCTTCTCTAACAAGCATATCTGATTTGAACTAGTTCTCTCAAATCTAAAAGAGCTAAGGATTTTAGGAATGTGTGAAGTTATATGCTCTGCAGCTCATTTTGAAAACTACTGAATACCAGAAAAACTCTAATGCTGTGTTAGGAAAAAACATGTCACCTTTAAGCAGTATACCTACAGTATTATTGTTGCAAAGAAATTGACTTTTTTTATGTCCTATGCATTCTTGAACTAGATGAACACCACCAAAGGTATTTGATTTGTTAATCTTATTAATTGTTCATCAGCAGAAAAAGTGATGTAGAAGATTTATATCAAAGTAAATGAAAAGAAATTAAAACAAGTTTAGACAGAGCTGCCATGGAGGGACTTAAAGGTAAAATTACATTCCACAACGGAAGATCATCCTCTAGTAGCAGAAGTCCTACCAACTATTCCTAACAAAACTGGGAAATAGAAATTACAACAACTTTTAGATTTGTACCTGAAATCTTGAACCTTATACAACAATTAAACACTAGACTTATTCTAAAGAACACTTATACTATAAAGCACATAGGGCTTTAAATATGTACTTTGGGACCTTTGATTTGGTTCAAGGACTTTTGATTTTAGTTTATTTTTGTAGTACATAAGCACAAAAAATACAGTGGTTGTTAAACATAATTTTAATACAATTTTGCAGAAAAGTAAAATACAGATATTTTGTTGTTTCAAAGTTAAGTTTTTTGGTCAATGAAGAAAAGCACTGTATACTACTGGTTACTATATGGACAATCAAATCTTTAAGGGGAATAATGCAAGAGCTGTAGAACGCTAGCAAAAAGAATTTTCTTCTCAGTACTAGTTACGTTACAACTAGACTTATGAAAGCACAGACTGTATTTTAGAGTATAAACAAATCCAAATAGTCCTTATTAAAGCAATCCAAGAATTAAAAAGCAGAAAATAATCTTTTTCAAAAGTGAGTCATAAACGTTTTTACAATATTTATATGTTCTGATTCTGTAAATCTTTTCAAATATACAATCAGTAACTTCATTAGGTGCTTCTTCAACCTTCAAAACATTGCATGAGATGGAAACCATCCGAGCATTAAATAAAACAAAAAAAAGGTAAAAAAATTTAAAGGCAAAAAGCTAGTGCTGTAACTGCAATACAAATTGAACTAGTCATGAGACAAGGAAAATATTCAGAAAAATCATAATTCGTGCATCAAGAAAACAGATAAAACTGGTGTGGCTGTATCTAATTTTTTAGCAATGCATGTAGGCAAAGTGAAAACATGTAGATTGCTGTATTTAAAGGTAGAGATCAAGTTCTAAGCTGGGAATTTCTTTACTTCTAGAAGCAGTTTTTGGACAATTCTGGTGTCGAGAGAATAGACAGAAGCCTTCTCAAAAGTAGAAAACATGCACATTTTTGTTTTAGGTATGATGACACCTGCATAATAATCTGGGTTAAGTGTAAGTGTATAAGTTTCTTAGGGCTTATAGCAATAGCTCAGTATTCCTACTTATATTCAGCAAAAAATTGAAAATAATTACTATTGATCATGAATTCCATACATTTCTTCACATTTTCCATCAGGTCTTCTGTAAACCCATTGAAAATATATAGTACTCAAGATTATGCAGAAATGGTCATATCTACACTTACTTCCCAGAAAATTGAAAATATATTCCTAATATTTAAAAGTCAGATTTATCTTTAACTTAAAATTACTTGATAGAGTTGATTGAGATGGATATCTATGGCACACTGACTATCCAATGTCCAATACTTTACTAAATGCATGAAATTGATGTACTATGTAAAAAATGGTTACTCATTATAAAAATAATACAATTACTTTTAAGAAAATATTAAAAAATAATTAAACTTGTTTCAGATCCCATTTAATACAGTAGTTTTGGAGAAGTGTGATAACAAAAGATAACAGTAATTATCTGGGGTTGCAATATTTTTCTTACATATTTTCTTCAATACTAAAATGGCTATAAATTTGAGGTAAAAGTACCAAGGAATGCAAATCTTCCAGTGCACGCAAAATAGAATTTTAACAAATAAGCACTATTATACTACAGCTACTCCATTTGGTAGAGAGGAATTAAACCATTTGGGTACTCATTTATTTATTCCAAATACAGTTAATATGATCTAAAAGATAACAGGAAAAGTATTTCTGTAGAGAAGTTACATCTGTTTTTCCCACAAACAAGCTAGAATACCATAACAATGACCAATTTATATATTCTCTTTCAAATTTTTCCCTGAAATTTCTCTCTTCTACACATAGCCACACAGAGAATTTCTTTCTAATTATTGTCAGGTTACATACCCATTCCATCATTTTACAAGAGACTGATGGCCTTATTTTTATTAGAAGGTAATTTTTGTTAAAAAAATAAAATTAGTCTATTTCTTATATCTTAAAAAGAATACACAGAGGAAAGATACATACATATAATCAGAATTATTATATTCTCTGACAAATTTGGTATATTCCCATATTTCCCACTGCTATACAAAGGAGGGGATCTGCTTTTTGATTACTTACTCTGTATTTTATCATACACTTTCACCGTATGAAATAATACTTTGTAATATATCACAGCACACATCAAATTTTCAAATATTTAAAAGAGGTTATTTGCTTTGGTTTAATTTTTATATACTAAGCATGATTTTGCAGAAGTGAACATATCTTTTTTTTTTTTAACTGGCATCAGATATTTGGAAATATGTGACTGCTCATCTCTTTATCAATATTTATCTAAAATTGAGAGAAAAATTTGAAGAATGGAAGAAATATGCAACCTAGAGCCCTTTTTATTATTTCACTACTAAAATTTTCATTTTAAGAAAGACCTTGGGCTTTTTGTACTCCAGTATATGGTATTTCAGTACAGTGAAGGGAAAGGGGTTTTTAAACATTAAAAAAAGACTTTGAACAAAGCCAAAAACCAGAAATCCTCAATTTTAGATCACCTTCACAGTAGTACACTTGAAGAAGTTCTACCTCGACAAAGGGTCAATATCTACACCGAAGACTTCAATTTAATGTGGATTGTTTGTTTTGTTTAATTCTAAAATTCCCACTAAGAATATGTTTCACTTGGAAAAATTAACATAAGACGGGGGACATGAACCTACATTGTTCATTCCTTTTAAACACACATTGGTCATGAAGAACAGAAGGAAGAATCAGATCAAGAGCTTGAAATGAAGAAAGTAACAGGATACTGTGTGCAGCTGCAGAACTGTGCTAAATGAGCTTTCTCAAACTCACAAAATATACATTGATATTCCTGAAGTTATATTTCAGATTAATTCCTCAACATCAGAATTGCATTAATGACTTCATGTCCAAAGCATTGCCTCCAAGAGTAAGACTGATGAATTGAAATTTAGTAAATAACAGAATACAAATATTCAGTCATGGAGTAGTGGCAGTTCAAGTGTATTCACTTAATTTTTTAAAAGGAAGTACAGTTCAATATAAAAGACACAAATATATTTCAAACTTTTTTTAATCATGCTGATTTTCTTCCATTGTTTGCTTTATACTTCAGTGATAAAGCACTGTAGTGCACTATTTCCTATTTCTCAACTAATAAAATGGAAACAGAAGAAAACAATTTATAGAAAACAAGGACCACATATATTACAAATTATTTAGTCTAGAGGCTTTTACACATGTGAATGGAAAAAAGGGAGAAAAACTACTATGGAGTTATTTGCAGCACAGAAGTTCTTCAAAACTTAAATGCAACTGAATAGAAAATGCTTCCCTTTCTGAATAGTCACCCAAAATTCTATAGATGCAAGTGTTGAAAATATTCAAAAGCTTGCAAAGGAACTCCTAATTTTATATATATATAAACACGAACGTATGCGTGCAATTTCACATGCTTTTGGAAAGGCAGTTCAGTAAACATTTTAAATAAATTGTCTAAGTTAGACAATTAAGTTTAATTACAAAATTAAATTGTCTAAACTGTACAATTAACTAAAACTAAATCAACAATTTAGTTATCATCTCTAGTTAAAAGAGTTTACTGTGCTACTCATACAGTAGAAGGGAGTCTTCAACATCTACTCAGTGTTTTGAAAGCAAAACAGTAAAGTTACATGAAAAAGAACTACCCTATTCTTCCAGAATCCAAGACATGTAACCAGTATGTTTATTTGCAATCCACCTTAGAAAACAAAACCTATGACTTGACAATACTTTAGTTCAAAAGTCAGTTTTATTTTGCCACACTATATAACAAGACATCCTAATTAAGGTATGGCATGTTGCAGAACTAGATTTATAATAGGGTTGCAAAAAATATGTTTTTTAAAGATATATTCATAGCAATTTTCCCTGTACCATTACACTGCATGGTAGTCTTCTGTATTGAGCTGGAAATACTAGTGATTATATATTTTTAGGTTTTTTATCACTACACTGTATATTGAAGCTCTGTAGGAAAGCAAACACTAACACTGTTATTTGCCTTCACAATAATGCATTCTAAATACTGGTAAATGAGGCATTCAGCTGGAGACTGAAATCAAAACAAAAGTTGCTCTTTTCTTCTACTGCAACATTCAGTCATGCAACAGTTGCTTTTCACAGTAAAAAAGGGCTTGCATTTCAGTTTAAAAGCTCTTCCAATAACAAAATTGGGAACTAATGTGCATCCATAAAGTAGATATCATATGCTTACACAATACTGAACTTTGCAATATTTATTATCTCTGTTCACTGTTAGACCACAAAGCTTTCATCTCCTGCTTTGGGACAGAACAAGACCACACTCAATAACATAGTTCAGAGACAGAAAGTGCATGGAAGTTTGCACAGTGCCGAATAAAGTCAGAGAATAGCCCAAAATCTAACTGAAGTAGTTGCA